ACTCATACAGATTCCAGACAGACAGACAGACAGACAGACAGACAGACAGACAGACAGACAGACAGACAGACAGACAGACAGACAGACAGACAGGAAGGACTGATGAAATTTTGCTTAAATGTAGTAACGTGTATATTTTAAAAATGTCAATTGGAGTAAGCAGACAGTTTGTCAACAATGATAATAACAATATAGTGTAACATCCTGGAAAACGATGGTGGTAGCAGCTCTAAGATGAAAGGTAGCGTCTGGAAAGTAGGCTTGTTTTTAAAACGGGTGTTACAGCACTTATTTAACAATAAGGTCAAATAAGTGCCGGAGATTAGAGGTGTTACAAAAGAATAACAAAAATAATAAAGAAGAAGGAGAACAGAACGATAAATGTCTGATAGGAAAAAAAGAAGCAAACCACACCAGAGAACATGTCAACCACCAACAGGAAAGTAGACACACTTTAACCACAGATTGTCTCATATGAAAGAAGAGACGAGTTTCCGCATTTGTCCTTTTTTTTATCGCAATCTAATAAGCCCCAAATAATTTTCCTTTGTTTATCACGATGACAGGATCAGGCAAAAATGGTAATACATTGCCAAGCTGAATTACTTAGACAGTTTTAAATTTAGTGAGGGGCGTGGGATTTGAATAATAATGAATGGTTTTCCTTCTATGAAAAAGTTTAGTCATCCAAGCAGAACCCCCCACTACCCTACCACTCCATCCATCCCCAGTTCTTGTCCCTCCTCGTGTCCTTCCTTCAACTCTTTCGTTACATCCACCATCTTATTTTTTATTTCCTCTATTCTCCTCCTCTTCTCTGTCTGTCTGTCTCTAACACCACCCCATCGACCCCCTCCCCCTCTATTTTCTTCCCTCAGCCACGGTGTGATCGGACCTATGCTGTTACTAAATTCTGCATTCCTAAAGCATAATTTATACTTGAGACACTTTTTGACAGAAGGTGTTATCTGCAGTCTTCGAACCTTTTCTTTTTCTCATTTTTGATCTCGAGTTCATCGAGACCTTTCATCTTTACAGCTTTTTATTATATTTAACATCAAAGCGTAATGTAACTAATGATTTAATGCTGTTTTAGTTCAGTTTTTTTTTCAACAACAGCGTAATGATTATTTTAATAAATTGGAATCAGCATTTTCTACTTCTCCCACTTTTTGGATATACAAGGTTTTGTCGCACAAACCCACACTTGAAAAGGAATACGCTTAACAGGCTACCTCGAAGATTTCATATTAATTAAGGATTACCCATTTTGCACTAGATCTGAACAAAAAGACTTGACAAGGCTTATGGGAGCTCCCAAGCTGAACGGACGCCAAGAATATAGCGTGCAATAAAGTCCTTTTCACGTCATCAAGACATACACATGATCATGTCCTATTTCTGCACGGTTGCGCGTATCATGGAGCAAAAGCTGGGCCTCAGTTTAGTTACTGGTCGAGAACTTCACGCCAGGATTTTATTTTCATTTCCGAAAACGTTATGTAACGTGCTTGTTGGGAGAATTTTTACCGTCGTGCCAGTAAATTACTTGTTGTTCCTTGGTTCATCACAGCTAAGCTTGTCCTTTGCCAAAACATAATATTCGTTACGCTTTGAAAGTGTGGCTTACGACTGAGAAACTGCAGACTTTCAATAAGACATGACGCTGACACTTAGGAGAGGTTTGGTGCGTGACTCGAAAAATGTATAGGTCTAAGGAGTGGGGCGGGCGCAGGGGCGGATATGTCAATCTCTATACACACAGCACCGGACGAATGAAAGCAAGTAAAAGTCCCTTAATTAAAACCCACAGGGTGAGGGGCTCTCGTGGTCTAGAGGTTACGGTGTTCACCTCTCATTCAAAAAGTCCCGGGTTCCAAACCTGACAGCGACGGAAAATTTACTTCTTTATGATGCTCTCCTTTCGCCTCCTTTCCTGATATCCAACAAAGTTCTGTTGTCTGCTTTCGTCCCCACTTTCTGCCCTCCCCTCCACAACCTTTGCCCCCTCCTCTGGGTTCCAGACTCTTTCTGCAGCCTTTCTATGCTACTCCTTTGCGCCTTCTTACTCTTGTCTTTCAGTCACATCCCTGCTATTAAGGTAGGAAAGATTATAACTCCTAGCCATCTGGGAAGAATGGTTTAAATGCTCTATGTATCCCGCGCGCTCATATGACCTTATGCAGTTGAGAACGCCGTAAAACACTTACAAAAACCCCCCAAACGAACAACAACAACAATAAAAACAAACCCCCAAACAAACAACAAAAAGGGGGGGGGGGGGGGGGTGGGATGTGGTCGTTAGTACAGACAATTGTCTTGGACAGATGGTCGTTAGAGCAGGTTCGAGTGTAGGTAGTGAACAGAAAAAACAACAACTATTCCTTACCTCATAATGTCCGTGGGTCAGGCGCTCCAGCTGCTGGTGTACAGGTGTTGATCCGGGGGATTAGAGGACAAGGATGACTGAGTGTCACAAGAGGCTCACCAAGGTCCAGGAGATGATGTAGCTGAGCGACTTCAGTCGCGTAAACAGCCAGGTGAGAAGTCAGAATATGATGTGTCACGACGACTGGCACATGTGGTGCTGCTCTGCTGCTGTCGGGCTTAGGTGGACGTACGTCGACAGTTCTTTCCTCTTCTTCCTCCTCTTCCTCCTCTTCTTCTTCTTTTTCTTCTTCTTCTTCTTCTTCTTCTTCTTCTTCTTCTTCTTCTTCTTCTTCTTTTTCTTCTTCTTCTTCTTCTTCTCCTCCTCCTCTATCCTCTGTCCACTTTCGGTGTGTGTATCGCTCAGTCTCAGCACGTAAGGTCCACTACGTCAGCACGAAGCAAGACGTTCCGCTTGTGTGAGCACACACACAAACACACACACACACACACAAACGCTCTCCCTGTCACGGCTCACGTAACCGATGACGCTGAGAGACCTGGCAGTATTGACTTCTGACAGCCACCTGTTCGTTTGTCTGTGCTCTCTCTATGTGCCGGGTCCGTGAAGCGACGGTTGGTCGAGTATCGTCAATGTAAGAGGGTGGGGAGAACTCGTTAATGTCCCCCGTTCTGCGAACTGGATGTTGTCAGAAGTTTGAAGCCTGGGAAGGATATAAAGAAACATGTAGTTGTAAAGCGCTAGAGCATGCATTAGAGCGTGGATATGCACGATTTAAATACTGTAGTCACAATTGATTATAATTATTACAATTAAAGAATGAAAAAGACTGTAACATGCATATTATGCTATTTATTGTATTTATTGTTGTTGTTGTTGTTGCTGTTGTTGTTTTTATCATTAAGTAAAAAAGTAGGACGTACCAATGGCGCCCTACGACCACCCGCAATACTAGTACCTCCGGAAACGGCAGGAAGAGACCATGTAAGGAATGAGGAGAAACTGAGCTGTGACTCTGCCAGCTTATGGCAAGTAGAGACAATAACAGTTGGCTTACTGCATGTATTTTGCAATGGATACACCTAGCTAGTGTTTTAGTTTAGAGTTTTACAACACTCTCGGTACAAAAAGCTAATGCAAGTACCGAAGATTAGAAGTGTTACTGGCACTCTCGTGGTCTAGAGGTTACGGTGTTCGCCTCTCATTCAATAGGTCACGGGTTCAAAATCTGGCAGCGACCGATTTTTTTTCTCTAAAATTGTCTCCTTTCACCTTTTCTGCTCTCTGTTCTGTCGTCTGCTTTCGTCTTCACTTTCTGCCCCCCCCCCCCCCCGATCTTAGGGTAGGTAAGACCTCACACCTAGTCTTTTTGGATAAGAACGAAAAATCTCGAAGGTGCCGTGTTCAAATTGCGCACGTTAAAGATCCCTTGGTGGGTGGTTGGTGCCTTGGTGGGTGCTCTAGCGTGGTTTGTTTTCTCCTTCTTTACTATCAAACATCTATCCTCTTTATCTCCCCTCCTTATATTTTTTGTTTGTTACTCTCTAGTAACAACTCTAATCTTCGGCACTTATATGGCCTTATTGTGTTGCAAGTGCAGCGAAACTCTTACTAAAACAAAAATTCCTTGACGGTCCAAAAATCGGTAAGTGTAGGCCTCGGCCACTACCCAGACAAAATTCTGAATTAATTCCTACCAAACCAAAAATATCCTGCGCGTTCATATATGGCATTATGCAGTTGGGAGCGCCGTAAAACACCAAAACAAAATGTTAAAATGGTGTCACTAGAGAGTAACACCAACACCTCCCCCCACAACCGCCCCCTAAAATATGAAGGGGAGATAAGGATGATAAATATTTGATAGAAAAGTGGGTGCAAACCCCACCAGAGTTCGCCAACCGCTCACTTTGGCTGGTGTATCATTTGAAAGGGAAAAAGAAACGATTGCATACAGCAAGGGAAAAAAAGGAGCTAAAAACGAAATGACAGCAATAACAACAATTGCAACACCACCACTATCAGCACCACCACCAGCGCCACCAAAAAAACAACAACACAAAAACAAAAAAACAGCAACTACAATACATGTACTTACAAAAATAACAACGTCGGGGACAAAACAGTAACAGCAACAACAATGTTAACAACAAAATCAACAAGAAGTGCATGCGTATCTAACAATTCTCGAGACCTACCTGATTAAATTCTGTATTAAAAAAAGGAACCTTTTTTTAAAAGAAGTTTCAAATAAATCTTAAAAACCCAACAAAACCCACCAGCCAACAAGGTAAAAAAAATAAACCAAGAAAAAAAACAACTCCCAAACAAACAAACAAACATCATTATGATCAAGTAAAAAAACGAAGGAAACAACCAAGAAAAAAGACCAAAATGAACAACAAAGAGAAATTAAACTATCCAGACAGTAAAAACACAAACAAAGAAACCAAAAAAACAAAACAAAACTAAAACAAAAAGCACCCCTCCAACCCCCCCCCCCCACCAAACAACAACAAAGCAACAACAAAACCACATACAATTACCATGTGCGGACAAACGTGGAGGCAAAGTTGTACCAAAACAAAACAAAGATCTACGTGAAGCATAATTACGAGGCCCTGTCATGCAGAACACCATTAACACTTTCTAAACCTACCCTAGATATCAAATATCCTTGATGGGATGTCATGTTCTTCGAAATACAACCCCCCACCCCCAACCCCCCCCCACCCCCCATTTCAATGCAGGGATCCATTCTGTGCATATTTGTTTCCAGGCATCATCTTTTTGTACTCTCTTTTGTCTTCAGTTTGATGTATAATTTAACATCTTTATCTTATTTAATGAAGTAAGTTCGTTAACCTGGCTCCCTCAATACAATCTTAAACAATCTGTCACATTTACAACACACTGGTCGGACACAGACGTGAAAGTAATGACAGTAATAATGGCAGTGACAATGGCAATAACAGTGACAGTGACAGGGACAGGACAAGGGCAATAAAAATGACAGTGACAGAGGCAAATGACAATCCTCATTCATCTATCGGGGAGATATTTGTCTTGATCGCATACGAAGGAAGTGGTGTTACAAAATCCATGTACACTAACGCATACACACAACAAGAGAGGGCATAAGTATTATGCGCCGAAAATACCTCCTCTCTCTCTCTCTCTCTCTCTCTCTCTCTCTCTCTCTTTCTCTCTCTCTCTCTCTTTCTCTCCCTCCCTCCCTCTCCCTCCCTCTCCCTCACTCTCTCTCTCTTTCTCTCTCTCTCTCTCTCTTTCTCTCTCTCTCCCTCTCTCTCTCCTCAGAATAGAAAGGGTTAAGACCATTTTGTTACCCAGCTGCTTATGCAACGACAAGCACGTCTTAAAAACACATCGCTCAGACGGACAAGACGGCGCTCCAAGAATAAATCATTCTTACAATGACCCGGTACCGTTTACTTAAAACTGCAATATTTAATTTTTTTTTAAAATCTGGGCGATCAGAAGCTGTGGCGGTCCGGAGTTGGATCCCCGCCAGCGTCTGGTTATTTTTTCATGTCTCTATGGCTTGTTCCGGTATATAAAAATCATTAATAATAATTTACAAATGTTTCTACACCTCCTGGTCTTATTGTAGGTAGGAAAGTAGACTGGTTCGAGTACCTCTATTATTTTCAGAGGCCGACGAAAAATTTCGGAGGTTCCGTGTAGAAGTTGCACTCTTTAAAGATGCATTCACGGTTCTCAAATCGAAAAGAGTAGGTCCATTTGGCTGACGTCAGGGCAACATTCAAATTGACCCCTTTCCAAAAACTGAAGCCTCTAAAATAGTCAGTATAAATAATAAGAGTATCTTCAAGAATGGTACGTGGCAACCTGTCATGAAAGGGATGCTTCTGCGCGCTGCGAAGATAAAACGGCTTTGTACGTAACAATCAACTGCACTCTGAGATGAAGCTCTCAGTAACTCTCAGTTACTACCTGGGCTCTAGAAGGGCAACGAGAATTAAAAAGAACTAAAGTCTTACAATACATAATATACGTTTGATATTGTGCTGAGGTTCTAAGTGCTGTCGAAACTGTCTAAGACGGCCACCCATAGTCGAGGACAAAAGCGATAGTATTAGACAGGTGACCGTCTCACACAGCGTCTATATACTGTAAAAAACAACAACGCAGGGGTGGAATTGGAAAGTAGCCATTTGTGCAGGTGATTGTCTTGTACATGTGGGCCTAGGCGAACTGTGTAGGCTCAGATGTGGGCCTTCAAACAGGTTCGACTGCACAACCCTTTTTGTGATGTTCTCAAATGATCCAGCCTCTTGCAGCTTCAACAGTTCGGACACAAATAAATAGTTCTCTTTTCGAAAGCAGAGCGCAACCTTACACGAATAGGTGAGATATGCGGGAACATCGAAGTAACAATCTAAGATGGAAACGAACAAACTGGCTGGGCCCTACTCTGATCGGGATCTAAAATTTCACTGCGTTGGTCAAATTTACAAACAACTGCGCTACTATCCTCCAGCTCAGTTTCTCCTGTTTCTGTCAACCGTGGACACCTAGGGGCATCACTTGATAGCCAAGCCAATCACCCTACCTCTGTTGCGGGGTCGGACCAGGAGTTGGACAATTCATGGGAGTGATATTGCGGAATTGTATATCGGGGCATTCTACATGTGGGAAAAAATGGTCACCCCTGAACTGTCAGGTGCCGGTTAAGTGGGATGTCAGATATCCACAAAATGGATTCAGCAAACATTTTACAGCTCCATCAACACATTTGATTAAGAAAGGCAACTTAAGGAGGTGGCGGGCTATTTTGACTCTGCCTGTCGGGCCCGCCAGCAGAAAGACGTGGACACTCACTACATTAAATTTTATCACCCAGAAAGCGAACCAATGTCCTTTTCGTGCGACGGAAGTTAAGAGCCAAAGTGCGTTGAACTCATATAATCCATCTGAGTAACGGCTATTTCGATTACATAAACGTCCGCTTTGTTTGCCGATAGAATTACCTGTCTATATGTACGTAATGGGAGAGGAAATGTCGTGCGATGTGTCGATTTGATGCCTTTTGTATGAAACCTCTATTAAAATTTTGTGCCAAGGGCACAGATGAAAACAGAAAACCAATTCCCTTTAAAGAAGGATAAGTAGGATTACATCTCATATCATAATCTAATATGGCAATCGAAAATCTCTTAAGGCACTTAAGGTTCTTGCCACTATATCCCTGGAATCTGTGTACACCTCAAAGCCCCCCATTTTTAGTGAGCGCCATCGTGTGTGACAAATCTAACAAAGCGACGAATCTCAGGCGCGTCCACACTCCGTTTATGTTGTTCCGCTTACGTTTGAACTCCTGAAGACCTTAATGAATGCAAGCTAACGATTTCTCGGATAACGTAATCGTTCGGGTTATTACTTGTATAACGACAGTTAAAGCGTTGAAATTTACGCTTGCAAGTATTCAAAATGTGTTGCTATTTATATACGGTACACGGAGAGTAATGCTTTTCATAGACATGAGCGTGTTACTCTTTATTCCATCCCGTTGGTTTAGAACAGGGGTCACCAATTTTATTTTTTCGAAGTGGGCTTGATAACCGACACAGTGCTGAGCGCCGGCCGGATAACGTTTTGTCCTCTACAATAACTGAATACATAAGCAAACTGATTAGCTCAAATCTATAAAGTCTACCAAAG